AGACTAACAGAAGTATTGGGAGCATAAGCTTTCGTGGGTAAGAACCTCACTTCTGTTTAATGTGTTCCCTAACAACATCTATTGATCTAGTTGGATTTACTAGAAAAGGGCACCTATCCATATACTCTAGCTGCCCTGCACAGTTATCAAGAGCTATATATGGTCTACAAATATAGATACAAATATATGAACATAACAGTTACTTCAATTTTCTTATTTATGTTTAGCACTGTGTATATATTTGGAGGGTTCAACAGTCTCCTCCTGAGCGATATCCTGAGGTATACACCAGAAAGCTGTGAAGCTTATGACAATGAGACATCTTGCTTGAGAGCAGGTCCTGGAATCAGGTGTGTGTGGAACACCACTTTTTCTCTGTGTGTCCCATGGGAAAGAGCAACAGTAGAGCAACAACAAAAAGTTTTCGAAGAATGTCCTTCTAAACCAGGTATGTATGCATTACACTTCCATAACATAGACACATATATTTGTGTTAAGATGCACTACCACCAAAACAAGATACTCCACTGCACATGCTTCTCCATCTGAGGAGAGTATAAAAGAACAAACATCACATGACCAATGTATAGTCACGTATCCTAATGCACTACTGGAAGGTACTCAGATACAATGGTGATGAGTGTGGTATAAAAGCGTATATAGAATAGACTTCTACTTTTTTCTTTCCATACTGTTTCAAATCATCTCTGTTCCTCCTCACATTTTTGTACATTATTGTTCACTAAATAGCCAAAGTCAGGGACTGTGGGCCAAGATTCTATATGATATGAACTTCAGAACTGTGACTACTCTATTGGGTATGCCAAATCTTTTCACTACTGCCATTATAAACTTCAGGTTATTTCTTGAAAATATTCAGCATTCCAAGAGTTAGCAAAAAGATAAACGAGTAAAAATCCAGGAGTTGGCTCTCTGTGGTCCCAAAAATAATTTGAATGTGTTCAGTATTTGTTTCTTCTAGCAGTAAACATCAACAGTGTGTGCATTAGCAAGCTATTGCTACATACCTTGTGAAGAAGGTGCACCTGTAGACTTCTAATAAACAGCCTCATGTGTATTACTGTGAGAGCATGACTTTAATTTTGTTTTAATAAAAACTGGACAGTTTACAAATTAAATGCTACAGTAAAGTGATAGAAATGGCTTGAGGGCCACAGACTGCTGCTGAAATGATTGCTTGGCAGTTTGGGGTGTGGACAGTTAAAACTCCTCAATTTTTCTCCTTTAAACATCTACCCAACTCAGACTATTGCTATTATCTTTGCTCCTTTATTAAATTTCCCAATAGGAGCCAGGCTTGGACCATTGTTCCATAGAAAATGACTGAGATTTGTCATTGTGAGAGCCACCAACTCTGTTGACAAGCACCATTGGGACAGATTGGACAGGGCCATGCTGCACTCCTTTGTGCTCATCAAGAGAGGAGGTGTCATCAGATGATTGTTGCTATCACTTTTTCAACTAGAGTGGGGAGAGGGGGCTCATAGAGTTACCAATCTTTGAGCAGTTTCTTTGAACTACATTTAATTCTAGCCTCCGTTTATTAAATTTTCTAACAGCTATCAAGTCTGTAGTAGTTT